TGTCATAATCAATAAGTAATCATTTAATATGTAATGTTATAATTAATTATGTGATATAATGTAATGTTATAGTAAATTAAGTAATCATACTATAAATCTTTATTGTAATATATAATTAATTAAATTTTTAATCATTTAATTAAATATTGTACTAAGTTTATAATGAAATGTTTTAATTGATTAAAATATATATAATCTATATTAATGCTATAATTAATTAATTTTAATATTAATTAAGTAATACTAAATGTTATAAGTCAACTAATTAAGTAGTAGTAATAATGATAATATAAATTAATATACATAAATCAATTAAGTATGTTATAAAATTATAATTAATTAAGTAATTATTTAACTATAATGAATGTATAATGATAAGTATGAATATTAACTAGTAAAAATTTATTAATGTTTATCAATTTATCATATAAATTAATTAATTGCTAATTTACTATAGATATACTTAGAAATTGAATAATTGAAGTAAATAATTAAATACCATATTATTCAATCAAATATACTATTTTATTCAAAAATAATTCTTAATAACATTAAAATACTTTTTATGGATCATAATTCCAATTATACACTTAATTAATCAAAACTTAATAAATTATTAAATATATTAAAGTTTTTAATTGATGAGTTTATATGTAATAAGTATAATTGTATATTTATTTAATTAGGTTATTCTAAAAATTTAACTTGTTACATTTAAATTTTTTATATGTAAAATAATAGAAACCCCCCATTATTCACAAATATTTCATTACAGCCCAGGTTCCAAAACAGGTTCCAAAAATTGGTTCAAAACAGATTCTAAACCGGGTACCCGCTACAGGTTCCAAGCAGGTTCCAAACCAGGTACCTGTTTCAGGTTCTTTTTACAGGTTTCGGTTCTCCACACATAAGAACCGGAACCGTACAATGTCGGTTCCAATAAAATGGAACTAGAACCTACCTGAACAGTGCCGGTTTCAAGTAGGTTTCGGTTTCGGTCTCAGTTCTTGTTCTATCCGTTACCCGTGCTCACCCCTACTTGGTTAGAAGGTAACAAGATGTAAGGGAGTTGGTTAGGGTAGTAGTGTTTGAGGAAAGAGAAAAAGGTTCAATGACATGCAAATGAGACAGAAAACAACTCAAGCCAAAAACACTTCCAAATCCGGCAACTCCAACTCAATTTCCGGCCAAACTACACAAATTCAACCCTAAAACAATGATCCATATCCAACCAATTCAACAACAAAACATACCCCAAAACAAAGTAGAAATTCGGTCAAACTAAAAACATAAACAAAATCACACTTACTTGCAAATCCGGACCAAGACAAGTAGAAACACTTCAAGCCTAAAGGATTACTCCACCAACTTAAATTGATTCACCACCAAATCCCCTTGCCAAGACTTGGATAAAGAATGCACAATCAAAAAACACAAAAGTTCTCTTAAATGGATAAACCAATTTTCATATATTTCAAGACTAAATGTTGCAATGGAATAGTTGCCCTTATATAGGCAAATACAAGGATAAACAAGTAATTGAAAAATATAAGAAAATGAAATAAACTTAGCTAAATATTACAAGCCATTCATTCAAAACGCAAGGTCATGTCTATTTAATGCAAAAGAGACATAATTCCCTAATTCTAGGATCTATGTCTTTAACCACCCCATTAGTTATCTAAGCTTACTTTCATTAGATCAAAACTAATCAATGATTTCAATTAAGTCTACTAATAAGGGTGTAAGAATTTGGGCCTTGAGAATCATGTAAATGGATCCAATAAGGTATCATGTGGATCTTCCCCTTTGGAATGAAAGTTGGGCTGGATTGAACTTTTTCAACACTTGGGCTTCTTTCTTTGTGGGCTTGAGCTTCCCTTGTTGTGGTTGGGCTTGGAGTGGCTTGGTTCAAAATGTTTTGGACTCTCTCCCTCCTTGGAACTTGTTTGGGCCGAATAGCCTCTATTGCTTTCCACATTCCACAAACCAAGTGTGTTGGAAATTAGAGTGAAATTCTTCAATTCAATCGAATTAGCAAGTGTTTTAGGACTTGCAATTCCGGGTCCACTCATGTTTACAAGTGTTTTAGGACTTGTAAACGTATCACTTTCTTTGTGTATAAATGGTTGTTGATGTTTTGGCTTTTCAATGTATGAGAGATGAGAAACATCTGGGTTATTTCAGGTGTATTACAGAGGGGTTTTTTTAGGGATCTTCATGTAAAGAGAGAGTTGTAAACTCTATAAGGTCTTCTTTCTCCATATATAAGGTTTTCTTTCTCCATAATGAATATTTCTCTACTGCTCTGAAGAGTGGATGTAGGTAATCAATTAATTACCGAACCATTATAATTTTGTGTGTGTTCTTTACTTTCTCTATTTTCTCTTTATGCTCTTTTGATTACTCATAATTGATTGTTTGTGCTCTTGCTAAATTAGAAACCTAGGAATCTGATTTACTCTAATTCGATTAATCTTGAGTCCAACAAGTGGTATCAGAGCCAGATTAAGTCTAGGTGTTGGGGATTGATCATTTTTGGCATTGTCTAGGGTTTACTTTAAATTGTTGGTTATGGGTTTTGCGATTTAGGGTTTTCTAGGTCTTGAACTTTTGGGGTTTTTAATCTCTTAATAGTTGTGAGGTTTATAAGCCTAGATATGTCTAAGTTTGAAGTAGAGAAGTTCATAGGAGATAATGATTATGGGTTATGGAAGATGAAGATGAGGATTGTTCTAGTTAAGGATGGGTTGTCAGCTACCCTAGAGGGTGAGGATAGCTCACCAGAGTCTTTGAGTGAGAAAGAGAAGAAAGACCTTCTAAATAAAGCTCATAGCACGTTAATTCTAGGTCGGGGGACAAAGTTTTGAGAGAAGTGAAGAAAATGACCATACCAGTAGGGGTTTGGGAAAAACTAGACTCTTTGTATCTGTCCAAGTCTTCTCCAAATAGGCTAGTTTTAAAACATAAGTTTTTTGGTTTTAAAATCGATGAAAATAAGTCACTAGGAGAAAACATGAATGATTTCATGAAATTGTTGTAGGATTTAGAAGGTCTAAGTGTCAAGGTTGAGGATGAGGGTCAAGTTGTTATACTCATTAACTCATTACCCAAGATGTATTCTAATTTTGTTGATACCCTTAAGTATGGTAGACAGACCCTTAAACTAGATGAAATGGTAGTAGCTATTACTGCCAAGGATGTTGAGTTTAGGAAACAGGGTAATTTAGAGGGTGAAGGGCTTAATGCAAAGGGCAAATCTGAAAAGAAAGTGTTTAAGAAAGGTCACTCAAGGGGTAGGTCTAGGTCAAAATCCAAGTTTGTGAGGAAGTGTTTCTACTGTCATAAAGAATGACATTTCAAAAGAGACTGTCCAGATAGGGAAAAGAAACTAAGAGAAAAAGAGGCTAATGGAAATGTAGATGTAGCCTTTGATGGATATGAAAGTTCTAATGTTTTGGTTACTTCTGATGGGGAAACTGATTTTGAATGGATTTTAGATTCTGGGTGTACTTTTCACATGACTCCAAATAGGAGTTTTCTGATAAACTTTATGAAATTAGAATCTAGGAAAGTTCTTATGGGTAATAATGTTGTGTGTAATGTCTTAGGCATTGGAGATTTAGGTTAAGCTTACATGATGGCAGTTCTAAGTTATTCATAGAGGTCAGATTTATACCTGAGTTAAAAAGGAATCTAATTTCCTTAGGAAGTCTAGATTCTAATGGATTTAGTTATAAGGCTCAAGGTGGAGTCCTTAAGGTCACAAAAAGGTCCCTAGTAGTAATGAAAGGAGAAAGGAAAAATGGGTTATATGTTCTAAATGGTTTAGCCATCACTGGAACAGTAGGTGTGTCGTCACAAAGACCAAATAAGACTTCTTTATAGCATAGGAGGCTGGGGCATGTTAGTGAGAAGGGCTTAGTTGAGCTAAGTAAGCAAAAGGTGTTAGAAGGAGACAAAATTGAGAGACTGACCTTCTATGATCACTGTGTTTATGGGTAAATGAGCAAAATTAGGTTTAATATTGGGAAGCACTGTTATACGTCTGTTCTTGAGTACATTCATTCTAATGTATGAGGACCAACTAAATATCCTTTTTTGGGGGCTTATAGATTCTTCATTGGCATTATAGATGACTTTTCTAGAAAGGTTTGGATATATTTTTTTAAGAATAAAGGGGAAGCCTTTAGTAAATTCAAAGAATGGAAGATCTTGATTGAGAATCAAACTGGGAAGAAGATTAGAAAACTAAGAATAGATAATGGGTTGGAATTTGTTAATGAAGAGTTTGATAAATTGTGTAGAGATAGTGGAATTATGAGGCATAGGACAGTGAGGTATACACCTCAACAAAATGGTCTAGCTGAAAGAATGAATAGGACTATCTTAGAGAAGGTGAGAAGTCTATTATCCTGTGCCAAACTCCCCACTAAATTATAGGCAGAGGCAGCCACACAACAGTTTATCTAATCAATAGAATACCCTCCTCAGCCATTGATTTCAAAACACTAATAGAGAAATGGTCTGGATATCCTGCGAATTACAGCCACCTAAGAGTTTTTGGTTGTATTGTGTTTATACATGAAAAATCAGACAAATTACAACCAAGGGCTATTAGGTGTATTTTTCTTGGTTATCCTAATAGGCTTAAAGGGTATAAATGTTGGGATATTGCAAAGAAAAGGTGTATAGTTAGTAGGGATGTTAAGTTTAATGAGGAAGAACTAGGTGGGTTAAGTGAGAAAGGGAGTGAAATCAAAAGGAAGATAGAGGTGATTAATCTGGACTTAGGTGGTGAAGCTCTTTTTGTTAATCATGACAGTCTATAGTCAGATTATCAATAAGGAATTTCTCAACCACAGGAAGAGGAACCTGGTTTAGAAGATAGTGATGATAAACAAGCCCATAATGAGGATAATGAACTATAAAACTATCAGCTAGCTAGAGATAGAGAAAATAGGCAAATTAGACTACCTAAGAGATACTCACATGTTGATATGGTAGCATTTGCTCTTCAAGTTGCTAAAGAAGTAGAAGATGAGCCTAGAACAGTTTGGGAAGCTATGGATAGTGAAGATTCTAGGCAGTGGAAACTAGCCATGCAAGAAGAGTATGATTCTTTAATGAAGAATAAGACTTGGATTCTTATAAATAAGCCTGAGGGTAGTAGGGTTGTTAAGTGCAAATGGGTTTTCAAAAGAAAAGAGGGAATACCAGGGGTAGAAGCACATAGGTTTAAAGCTAGATTCATAGCAAATGGTTTCACACAGGTTGAGGAAGTTGATTATAATGAAATATTTTCACCAGTTGTGAGACATACAACTATTAGAGTGCTTTTGTCTTTGGTGGCTTAGTTTGAATTAGAATTAGAGCAATTAGATGTCAAGACAATCTTCTTAAATGGTGATTTAGAAAAGAAGATCTTGATGAAGCAACCTGAAATGTTTGAAAATGGGTCTAAAAACCAAGTATGTCTTTTGAAGAAATCTGTATATGGCTTAAAACAATCCCCTAGGCAATGGTATAGGAAGATTGACAGCTTTATAATGAATGGTGGATTTGTTAGAAGTAGTTTTTATGGCTGTTTTTACTTCAAGTGCTTGTATGGTGATTGTTATCTTTATTTAGCCTTGTATGTTGATGATATTTTTTAGCTTGAAGAGATTCCTCTAAAATTGCTAGATTTAAAAGTGAAATGAATAGGCAGTTTGATATGAAGTATTTGGGACAAGCTAAAAAGATCTTAGGGATGAATATTGAAAGCGATAGGAAAACAGGAAGGTTGATGTTATCTCAAAAGGAGTATGCTGAAAAGATATTAATGAAGTTTAAAATGTTTGACTTTAAACCTGTCAAAACTCCCATGGGTTAACATATTAAATTGAGTGTAGAATAGTGTCTAGAATCTGAAGAAGAGGAAAGAGAAATGGCTAGTGTTCCTTATGCAAATGCAATATGTTTGATGTATCTAATGGTCTGTACAAGACTTGATTTGGCATTGCAGTTAGTTATGTGAGCAAGTTTATGAGTAATCCTAGAAAGAGTCACTGGGAAGTTGTGAAATGGATACTTAGGCATGTTAGGGGGTCAATTTCAATTGGTATTGTTTATAGTAGAGGACAAAATCAAATTAATTTCATTGTAGGGTGTGCTGATGTAGACTATGCAGGGAATTTAGACAATAGGAAATCTATGACTGGTTTGTTTTCTCTTTGTGGGATCACTTGGTCTGTTGGAAAGCAAATTTGTAGGTTATTGTGACTTTATCAACTATTAAAGCAGAATATCTTGCAATTACCAAGGCAGCAAAAGAATCAATCTGGCTCAAGGGAATGCTTGGTGAAATGGGATTCAATTAGCAACAAGTTCCAATCAAGAGTGATAGCCAAAGTGCTATCTTTTTATGTAAGAACCAAGTCTTTCATGAAAGATCAAAACACATTGATGTGAGGCTGCATTTCATCAGGAATATGGTAGAAGATAAAGTCATTAAGGTGGAGAAAATTCCAGGAAAGGAGAACCCAGCAGACATGTTTACCAAAGTTGTCACTTTGGACAAGCTAAGGCTCTTCAAGAGCCTACTGCATATTGAACAGAGTTGAAGTTATGTTCTAGGGCAGTGAGAGATGGCAAAAGCATATGTCAAGGTGGAGATTTGTGGTGATGTGGCACCTGTTTTGTGCCTATGTGGAAGGTCAATCTCTAATATGTTTCGTCAAAGGCCATTTTTTTGAGAAAGGCAAGGACATTTCTAGGATTTCCCAATTGGGATTCTTGTTAAACCTAATTGCTTATGCCCATTTTTTGTTCTTTCGCGATTATTCCCTCTTGGTTACATAGAGAGAAAGGTTGTTACAAAAAATGGTTGAGTTGGAGCTTTAAAGATTGCTGGATGGAATCAAACAGTGATGGTGAGTCTAGTTTGTTATTCATTTATTCCTTTCTTTGTGTATAAATGGTTGTTGATGTTTTGGGTTTTTTAATGTATGAGAGGTGAGGAACATCTGGGTTATTTCGGGTGTATTACAGAGGGGTTTTCCTATGGATCTTCATGTAAAGAGAGAGCTATAAACTTTGTAAGGTTTTCTTTCTCCATAATGAATATTTCTCTACTGCCCTGAAGAGTGGATGTAGGTAATCAATTGATTACCGAACCACTATAATTGTGTGTGTGTTCTTTACTTTCTTTGTTTTCTCTTTATGCTCTTTTGATTACTCATAATTGATTGTTTGTGCTCTTGCTAAATTAGAAACCTAGGAATCTGATTTACTCTAATTCTATCAATCTTGAGTCCAACAGATTAAAACTTCTTTTAAAAATTGTTCCTATGCGGACAACCTTCCTTGCGTTTGGTTTGGTAGTTTCAACAGGAAATATCTTTTTTTCCGAGCAAGGCGAAAGCATGAATATTTCAAGTTTTTTGCTTGGATTATTTCTACTTAGATCTGTATCATGTCAAACAGTCGCCTATCTGTTTAATTTATTACTTTCAAGATGGATACCAAAAGCAAAACAAGAACCTGCTCAGTTAGTGAGAATTTGGGCTGGAATGGTGGTATCAATTTTTTGTTGTGATGTTGCACGTCAAATTGAGGCTCAAAGATTAGATATAGTTAATGCTGAAGGATTACAGGATGACCCATATGCAACTGTACTATTGAACATCTTCTGGCTTGCTCCACAGTTTTGCCTGCCAGGTCTTATGGAAGGACTTGCTGTAGATGGACTCGACGACTTCTCGATTTATCAGTTCCCTGATGCATCATGAAAGACCATGTATGGGCAGTTAATAAGTTGGCTATGGGAATTGGAAGTTTCCTAAGTATATTCAGTGTTTATACTAATAGAAGCTTGTTCACTAGAATTTTGAACAGCAGTCGCCTGGATGAGTACTACAAGAGGTTAACAGTTGTTAGTTTTATCAATATGTGCTACTATTTGCTAATTATGTCAACCTTCTACGAAAGCAATCACACAGCCGAAGTAGATGGGAGATCAAAAACATTTGTTGTAGATGTTTAAAACTTTTGTAGCTGTCAATTAATTTACTCAATACAAATTTTTTTTTTCTATGGTAATTAACCACCTCTTGGTACAACTTGAACTTAAGACTATTTCAACCCTGCACCCCTCAATCCATCCAGCCACAAGTGGGTGGTTTTGTATTAAACCATATATATGAAAATGGAGGTTATCAAAGATTCAAGTCAGGCAGGTACATGGTTTGAGTTTACTTGAAAATTTATAGTTTCTTTAATTTGGTTGGGTATAGGCTCTTTAATTCTGGACTACTGTAGGTTATTTTTTAATGATCATACTGAGGATTTCTAATTGGAGTTTAAGAATCTTATACATGCAAACTTTAAACTATATTTGATAGTCTTAGTATGAATTAGACCTCCGCGTGGATACGGATAAATCATCTTCTAGTCAAGTAATATAAAGTACTTCAAGCTAATTAAGTTATTCACATGGCCAGATTAATTATTAAAGGGTTGAATTACCAAAAAAGATGACCCCTAAAAATAGTGAAAAGAAGTATTCCTCTTTATTTCGAAAATCGAAATTAAACAATCAATGTCACTCCCAATTTTCAAATTCAAGCGTTAAAAGTTGATTGCTAAAACGCATTCATGTTGTTTAAAAAAAAAAAAAAAAAAAAAGCCCTGAACCTAATTAAAATCTCTAATCTCTCAAAAGTCAAAACCTTATCATTAAAAGTAAAAAGCAAAAAGTAGAAAACCTACCAAAAAAAAAAAAATTGTTTCAAACAACCCAATGACCCATAGTTGGCGACTGACCGATTGGCCAGATTACAATTCGTGGCAGGGTTGCAGCCTAGCTGCATTTGGGTGGCCAGATTATTAGCCGCCCAATCCTCTCAAATGTAGAAATCAAAGAATAGGGTAACAAAACAAAAATCATTTGAAGTCAGCAAATGAAAAATACTGTAAGATGGTAACCTTTTCTCAGAGATTAGTTGTCGCTGTTATACCATAAAGCCACGAAGGATCCTTGCTTAGTCTAAATTTGACCTATTCAATATAATTGAAGTGTCTTTTAGCGGTGGATGACTTTGGAGTGGATCATTTTGCACTGGTCAATTAAGAAGCCATGAACCAAAAACAAAGAAAGATGAAGATCGCGTACGTAAAGGCTCGAGAAAACAGTGAGGTGCGTACGTGTACTAATTAACACATTCCTAATATTTACAATTACAATTACTCAGTTCCAAAAAATTTCACCATTCTAGAAAATTAAATAGAGTTGACCTCACAATCCAAAGGCTTAGGTTAAACCAAAGTAAAATTTTGTAAAACCACAGTGATACATACCATATATACAAATAACAAATAGTAATTTGTTTCACATGTAAATTGCCTGAACTTGCAGTCCACTAATATGGAAACTTCCTCTCTTCCTCCACAAGAAAAACTATGGCGGGCAGACAGAACAAAAACTCAAAAATTCTTCTAACTCTGGTTCTTAAGTGGACTTCCTTACTTTTGGTTGGTTTGGTTGATTTCAAGAGGAACAACTTTTTTTCCAAAGCAGGGAAACAAGAATTCTAGGTGGAGCTTGCTGGAGTGGCTCCCTCAGCTAGGATAGTGAGTTGCTATTTCTATGGTTATATGCATGTGTCTAGGAAAATTTTGTCACAAAGACAATAATAGGCTAAGGATGTTGGGTTTTAAGTGGGACCGTTTGTGACCCCTCTAATTTCCTAGGAATTTTCTTGGTGCATATTAAATCATATCAGCATAGCACTTACTACTATCTTGGGTTACTGTTCTACTCCATCTAGGACCGCCTTTGCCATTACAGTCCTCTGCCCTTGCCACGCTTCCACACACACCTTGCCTTGTCAATATTGCCACATGAGCATTGACCCTACTGTGTCATTCGCTCCTTTGCCACGTCATCATTAATACATTAACAATTTCTTGCCAAGTCAGCAACGCCGCTTCAGCAGGGCTTTTGCCTCATCATCAGTGCCATGGTGATTGGTCTTTCTGTCCCACGAGTCTGATATCTTCAGAATTTGGAAAATTCATCAACACAAAATTTGTAGCCCTCTGAATAAGATTTCCGACGCCACAAGAATTATCAAATTCTGATTTCTACAGCTCAAGTTATGATCAAAATATTGAAGCATGCTCATCTTGAAGAATTTTCCAAGTTTTAAGTCTTATCTTCAACGCATCATAACTTCCTCATTTTAATTCCGATTCTTGCACCGTTTGTTTCTACTCATCAAAAATTTCATCAACATCAGCCTTCTTCATTCAAACATTAATTACAACCTGAATCAACATCAGCCTTCTTCATTCAAACATTAATTACAACCTGAAA